ATTACTAGTATTACTAACACTACTACTACTAGTACTCCTAATAATAGTACTAATAGTACTACTAATAATACTACTACTACTAGTACTCCTCCTACTACTACTACTAGTACTACTACTAATACTACTACGACTATTAGTACTACTACTACTAGTACTACTTCCACTAGTACTACTACTAATACTAGTACTAATACTACTACTACTACTACCAGTACTACTACCAGTACTACTACTACTACTATCACTGATACTACTACTACTATTGCTACTACTAGTACTACTACTACTACTAGTGCTACTATTACTAATACTAGTACTATTACTACTACCACTACTACTAGTACTACTACTACTACTAGTACTAGTACTACTAGTATTACTACTACTACTTTTCTACTAGTACTACTATTACGACTAGTACTACTACTACTACTACTACTAGTAATACTACTACAACTTCTAGTACTACAATTAATACTAGTACTACTACTACTACTACAACTAATACTAGTACTACTACTACTACTAGTACTAGTACTACTAGTACTAATACTACTACTATTACTAATAGTACTACTAATACCACTAGTACTACTACTACTACTACTACTACTAGTAATACTACTACTACTTCTAGTACTACTACTAATACTAGTACAACTACTACTACTACAACTACTACTAATAATACTACTACTAATATTACTACTACTACTACTACCAGTACTACTACTAGTACTACTACTAATAGTACTTGTACTGATACTACTACTGATACTACTAGTACTAATACTACTACTAGTACTACTACCACTACTACTACTACTACCACCAATACTACTACTACTAGTACTACTAGTAGTACTACTACTACTACAAGTACTACTACTAGTACTAGTATTACTACTATTACTAGTACTACTACTACTACTAGTACTACTACTACTACTAGTACTACTACTACTATTACTAATAATACTACTACTACTACTAGTACTAATACAACTACTACTACTAGTACTACTACTACTACTACTAGTACTACTACTACTAGTACTACTACTAGTACTATGAGTACTACTACTACTACTACCAGTACTAATAACACGACTACGACTACTAGTACAACTACTAGTACTACTAGTAATACTACACTACTACTAGTAGTAATAATACTAGTAATACTACTACTACCAGTACTACTACTACTAGTACTACTACTAATACTACTACTAGTACTACTACTAGTATACTACTACTAATAAAAGTACTACTACTACTACTGCTACTTCTACTACTACTACTAGTACTACTATTACTACTAGTACTACTACTAATACTACTACTAGTACTACTACTAGTACTACTACTCCTATTACTAATACTACTATTCCTACCAATACTAATACTACTACTAATAGTACTAATATTATTACTAGTATTACTAACACTACTACTACTACTAGTACTCCTAATAATAGTACTAATAGTACTACTAATAATACTACTACTACTACTAGTACTCCTCCTACTACTACTACTATAGTACTACTACTAATACTACTACGACTATTAGTACTACTACTACTAGAACTTCTTCCACTAGTACTACTACTAATACTAGTACTAATACTATTACTACTACTACCAGTACTACTACTAGTACTACTACTACTAGCACTGATACTATTACTACTATTGCTACTACTAGTACTACTACTACTAGTACTACTACTACTAATACTAGTACTATTACTACTACTACTACTACTACTATTAGTACTACTACTACTACTAGTACTAGTACTACTAGTATTACTACTACTACTTTTCTACTAGTACTACTAATACTACTAGTACTACTACTACTACTACAACTACTACTAGTACTACTACTACTACTAGTACTAGTACTACTAGTACTAATACTACTACTATTACTAATAGTACTACTAATACCACTAGTACTACTACTACTACTAGTACTACTACTACTACTACTAGTAATACTACTACTACTTCTAGTACTACTACTAATACTAGTACAACTACTACTACTACAACTACTACTAATAATACTACTACTAATATTACTACTACTACTACCAGTACTACTACTAGTACTACTACTAATACTACTAGTACTGATACTACTACTACTGCTACTACTAGTACTACTAATACTACTACTAGTACTACTACTACTACCACCAATACTACTACTACTAGTACTACTAGTAGTACTACTACTACTACAAGTACTACTACTACTACTAGTACTACTAATACTAGTACTAATAATACTACTACTACTACTAGTACTACTACAACTACTACTACTAGTACTACTACTACTACTACTAGTACTACTACTAGTACTATGAGTACTACTACTACTACTACCAGTACTAATAACACGACTACTACTACTAGTACAACTACTAGTACTACTAGTAATACTACTACTACTACTAGTAATACTACTAGTAATACTACTACTACTAGTACTACTACTACTAGTACTATACTACTAGTACTACTACTACTACTACTACTACTACTAATACTACTACTAGTACTACTACTAGTATACTACTACTAATAAAAGTACTACTACTACTACTGCTACTTCTACTACTACTACTAGTACTACTATTACTACTAGTACTACTACTAATACTACTACTAGTACTACTACTAGTACTACTACTACTCCTATTACTACTACTACTATTCCTACCAATACTAATACTACTATTAATAGTACTAATATTATTACTAGTATTACTAACACTACTACTACTACTAGTACTCCTAATAATAGTACTAATAGTACTACTAATAATACTACTACTACTACTAGTACTCCTCCTACTACTACTACTAGTACTACTACTAATACTACTACGACTATTAGTACTACTACTACTAGTACTACTTCCACTAGTACTACTACTACTACTAGTACTAATACTACTACTACTACTACCAGTACTACTACTAGTACTACTACTACTAATAGTACTACTAGTACTACCACTAGTACTACTACTAGTACTACTACTAGTACTATTAATATTACTACTATTACTACTAGTAGTACTAATACTAATACTACTAGTGCCACTACTACTACTAGTACTACTACTACTAGTACTACTACTACTACTAGTACTACAACTAATACTATTACTACTACTACTATTACTAGTACTAATATTATTATAATTAATATTACTACTACTAATACTACTACTACTACTAGTATTAATAATACTGCTACTACTAATACTACTACTAATAGTACTATTACTAATACTAGAACTACTACTACTAATACTACTACTCTACTACTAGTATTACTAATACTACTAGTACTACTACTACTACTAGTACCACTACTGTTACTACGACTACTACTAGTACTATTACCAGTACTACCAGTGCTACTATTAACATTAATAATACTATTACTACTACTTGTACTACTACTAATACTCTTTGTACTACTACTACTACTCGTACTAATACTACTAGTAGTACTACTACTAATACTACTAGTACCACTACTACTACCACTACTACTACTACTAGTACTACTACTACTACTACTACTACTACTAGTACTACTACTACTAGTAATACTACTACTAGTACTACTACTACTAGTACTACTAATACTACTACTAGTACTACTACTACTACTAGTACTACTACTACTACTAGTATTACAACTACTATACTACTACTAGTAATACTACTACTACTAGTACTAATACTAGTACGACTAATACTATTACTACTAGTACTAGTACTACTAATACTACTACTACTAGTACTACTAATACTAGTACTACTACTACTAGTACTACTACTACTACTACTACTAGTACTACTACTACTACTTCCAGTGCTACTACTACTACTACTACTAGTACTACTACTAGTACTATGAGTACTATTACTACTACTACCAGTACTAATAACACGACTACTACTACTAGTACAACTACTAGTACTACTAGTAATACTACTACTACTACTAGTATTAATACTACTAGTAATACTACTACTACTAGTACTACTACTACTAGTACTACTACTAATACTACTACTAGTACTACTACTAGTATACTACTACTAATAAAAGTACTACTACTACTGCTACTTCTACTACTACTACTAGTACTACTATTACTACTAATACTACTACTAATACTACTACTAGTACTACTACTAGTACTACTACTACTCCTATTACTACTACTAATATTCCTACCAATAATAATACTACTACTAATAGTACTAATATTATTACTAGTATTACTAACACTACTACTACTAGTACTCCTAATAATAGTACTAATAGTACTACTAATAATACTACTACTACTACTAGTACTCCTCCTACTACTACTACTAGTACTACTACTAATACTACTACGACTATTAGTACTACTACTACTAGTACTACTTCCACTAGTACTACTACTAATACTAGTACTAATACTACTACTACTACTACCAGTACTACTACCAGTACTACTACTACTATCACTGATACTACTACTACTATTGCTACTACTAGTACTACTACTACTACTAGTACTACTACTACTAATACTAGTACTATTACTACTACCACTACTACTAGTACTACTACTACTAGTACTAGTACTACTAGTATTACTACTACTACTTTTCTACTAGTACTACTACTACCACTAGTACTACTACTACTACTACTATTAGTAATACTACTACAACTTCTAGTACTACAATTAATACTAGTACTACTACTACTACTACAACTACTACTAGTACTACTACTACTACTAGTACTAGTACTACTAGTACTAATACTACTACTATTACTAATAGTACTACTAATACCACTAGTACTACTACTACTACTACTACTAGTAATACTACTACTACTTCTAGTACTACTACTAATACTAGTACAACTACTACTACTACAACTACTACTAATAATACTACTACTAATATTACTACTACTACTACTACCAGTACTACTACTAGTACTACTACTAATAGTACTGTACTGATACTACTACTGATACTACTAGTACTAATACTACTACTAGTACTACTACCACTAGTACTACTACTACTACCACCAATACTACTACTACTAGTACTACTAGTAGTACTACTACTACTACAAGTACTACTACTAGTACTAGTATTACTACTATTACTAGTACTACTACTACTACTAGTACTACTACTACTACTAGTACTACTACTACTATTACTAATAATACTACTACTACTACTAGTACTACTACAACTACTACTACTAGTACTACTACTACTACTACTAGTACTACTACTACTAGTACTACTACTAGTACTATGAGTACTACTACTACTACTACCAGTACTAATAACACGACTACGACTACTAGTACAACTACTAGTACTACTAGTAATACTACACTACTACTAGTAGTAATAATACTAGTAATACTACTACTACCAGTACTACTACTACTAGTACTACTACTAATACTACTACTAGTACTACTACTAGTATACTACTACTAATAAAAGTACTACTACTACTACTGCTACTTCTACTACTACTACTAGTACTACTATTACTACTAGTACTACTACTAATACTACTACTAGTACTACTACTAGTACTACTACTCCTATTACTACTACTACTATTCCTACCAATACTAATACTACTACTAATAGTACTAATATTATTACTAGTATTACTAACACTACTACTACTACTAGTACTCCTAATAATAGTACTAATAGTACTACTAATAATACTACTACTACTACTAGTACTCCTCCTACTACTACTACTACTAGTACTACTACTAATACTACTACGACTATTAGTACTACTACTACTAGAACTTCTTCCACTAGTACTACTACTAATACTAGTACTAATACTATTACTACTACTACCAGTACTACTACTAGTACTACTACTACTAGCACTGATACTATTACTACTATTGCTACTACTAGTACTACTACTACTAGTACTACTACTACTACTACTAGTACTACTACTACTACTACTACTACTACTATTAGTACTACTACTACTACTAGTACTAGTACTACTAGTATTACTACTACTACTTTTCTACTAGTACTACTACTACCACTAGTACTACTACTACTTCTAGTACTACAATTAATACTAGTACTACTACTACTACTACAACTACTACTAGTACTACTACTACTACTAGTACTAGTACTACTAGTACTAATACTACTACTATTACTAATAGTACTACTAATACCACTAGTACTACTACTACTACTAGTACTACTACTATACTACTAGTAATACTACTACTACTTCTAGTACTACTACTAATACTAGTACAACTACTACTACTACAACTACTACTAATAATACTACTACTAATATTACTACTACTACTACCAGTACTACTACTAGTACTACTACTAATACTACTAGTACTGATACTACTACTACTGCTACTACTAGTACTACTAATACTACTACTAGTACTACTACTACTACCACCAATACTACTACTACTAGTACTACTAGTAGTACTACTACTACTACAAGTACTACTACTACTAGTACTAGTATTACTACTACTACTAGTACTACTACTACTACTAGTACTACTACTACTACTAGTACTACTAATACTATTACTAATAATACTACTACTACTACTAGTACTACTACAACTACTACTACTAGTACTACTACTACTACTACTAGTACTACTACTAGTACTATGAGTACTACTACCACTACTACCAGTACTAATAACACGACTACTACTACTAGTACAACTACTAGTACTACTAGTAATACTACTACTACTACTAGTAATACTACTAGTAATACTACTACTACTAGTACTACTACTACTAGTACTACTACTACTAGTACTACTACTACTACTACTACTACTAATACTACTACTAGTACTACTACTAGTATACTACTACTAATAAAAGTACTACTACTACTACTGCTACTTCTACTACTACTACTAGTACTACTATTACTACTAGTACTACTACTAATACTACTACTAGTACTACTACTAGTACTACTACTACTCCTATTACTACTACTACTATTCCTACCAATACTAATACTACTATTAATAGTACTAATATTATTACTAGTATTACTAACACTACTACTACTACTAGTACTCCTAATAATAGTACTAATAGTACTACTAATAATACTACTACTACTACTAGTACTCCTCCTACTACTACTACTAGTACTACTACTAATACTACTACGACTATTAGTACTACTACTACTAGTACTACTTCCACTAGTACTACTACTACTACGAGTACTAATACTACTACTACTACTACCAGTACTACTACTAGTACTACTACTACTAATAGTACTACTAGTACTACCACTAGTACTACTACTAGTACTACTACTAGTACTATTAATATTACTACTATTACTACTAGTAGTACTAATACTAATACTACTAGTGCCACTACTACTACTAGTACTACTACTACTAGTACTACTACTACTACTAGTACTACAACTAATACTATTACTACTACTACTATTACTAGTACTAATATTATTATAATTAATATTACTACTACTAATACTACTACTACTACTAGTATTAATAATACTGCTACTACTAATACTACTACTAATAGTACTATTACTAATACTAGAACTACTACTACTAATACTACTACTCTACTACTAGTATTACTAATACTACTAGTACTACTACTACTACTAGTACCACTACTGTTACTACGACTACTACTAGTACTATTACCAGTACTACCAGTGCTACTATTAACATTAATAATACTATTACTACTACTTGTACTACTACTAATACTCTTTGTACTACTACTACTACCCGTACTAATACTACTAGTAGTACTACTACTAATACTACTAGTACCACTACTACTACCACTACTACTACTACTAGTACTACTACTACTACCACTACTACTACTAGTACTACTACTACTAGTAATACTACTACTAGTACTACTACTACTAGTACTACTACTACTACTAGTACTACTACTACTACTAGTATTACAACTATTAGTACTATTACTAGTAATACTACTACTACTAGTACTAATACTTGTACGACTAATACTATTACTACTAGTACTAGTACTACTAATACTACTACTACTAGTACTACTAATACTAGTACTACTACTACTAGTACTACTACTACTACTACTATAGTACTACTACTACTACTTCCAGTGCTACTACTACTACTACTAGTACTACTACTAGTACTATGAGTACTATTACTACTACTACCAGTACTAATAACACGACTACTACTACTAGTACAACTACTAGTACTACTCGTAATACTACTACTACTACTAGTATTAATACTACTAGTAATACTACTACTACTAGTACTACTACTACTAGTACTACTACTAATACTACTACTAGTACTACTACTAGTATACTACTACTAATAAAAGTACTACTACTACTGCTACTTCTACTACTACTACTAGTACTACTATTACTACTAATACTACTACTAATACTACTACTAGTACTACTACTAGTACTACTACTACTCCTATTACTACTACTAATATTCCTACCAATAATAATACTACTACTAATAGTACTAATATTATTACTAGTATTACTAACACTACTACTACTAGTACTCCTAATAATAGTACTAATAGTACTACTAATAATACTACTACTACTACTAGTACTCCTCCTACTACTACTACTAGTACTACTACTAATACTACTACGACTATTAGTACTACTACTACTAGTACTACTTCCACTAGTACTACTACTAATACTAGTACTAATACTACTACTACTACTACCAGTACTACTACCAGTACTACTACTACTATCACTGATACTACTACTACTATTGCTACTACTAGTACTACTACTACTACTAGTGCTACTATTACTAATACTAGTACTATTACTACTACCACTACTACTAGTACTACTACTACTAGTACTAGTACTACTAGTATTACTACTACTACTTTTCTACTAGTACTACTACTACCACTAGTACTACTACTACTACTACTATTAGTAATACTACTACAACTTCTAGTACTACAATTAATACTAGTACTACTACTACTACTACAACTACTACTAGTACTACTACTACTAGTACTAGTACTACTAGTACTAATACTACTACTATTACTAATAGTACTACTAATACCACTAGTACTACTACTACTACTAGTACTACTACTACTACTAGTATTACTACTACTATACTACTACTAGTAATACTACTACTACTAGTACTAATACTAGTACTACTAATACTACTACTACTAGTACTAGTACTACTAATACTACTACTACTAGTACTACTAATACTAGTACTACTACTACTAGTACTACTACTACTACTACTACTAGTACTACTACTACTACTACTAGACTACTACTACTACTACTAGTACTACTACTAGTACTATGAGTACTACTACTACTACTACCAGTACTAATAACACTACTACTACTACTAGTACTACTACTAATAGTACTAATACTACTACTAATAATACTACTACTACTAGTACTACTACTACTACTACTACTACTACTACTACTAGTACTACTACTACTAGTACTACTACTAATACTACTACTAGTACTACTACTACTAGTACTAATACTATTATAATAATATTACTACTACTAATACTACTACTACTACTAGTATTAATAATACTACTACTACTAATACTACTACTACTAATAGTACTACTACTAATACTAGTACTACTACTACTAATACTACTAGTACTACTACTACTACTAGTACCACTACTGTTACTACGACTACTACTAGTACTATTACCAGTACTACCAGTGCTACTATTAACATTAATAATACTATTACTACTACTTGTACTACTACTAATACTCTTTGTACTACTACTACTACTCGTACTAATACTACTAGTAGTACTACTACTAATACTACTAGTACCACTACTACTACCACTACTACTACTAATAGTACTACTACTACTACTACTACTACTACTAGTACTACTACTACTAGTAATACTACTACTAGTACTACTACTACTAGTACTACTACTAGTACTACTAGTACTACTACTACTAATAGTACTACATACTACTACTAGTATTACAACTATTAGTACTATTACTAGTAATACTACTACTACTGGTACTAATACTTGTACGACTAATACTATTACTACTAGTACTAGTACTACTAATACTACTACTACTAGTACTACTAATACTAGTACTACTACTACTAGTACTACTACTACTACTACTACTAGTACTACTACTACTACTACTAGTACTACTACTACTACTAATACTAGTACTACTACTACTACTACTAGTACTATTACTACTACTACTAGTACTAATAACTACTACTACTACTAGTACTACTACTACTAGTACTAGTACTACTAGTATTACTACTACTACTTTTCTACTAGTACTACTACTACCACTAGTACTACTACTACTACTACTATTAGTAATACTACTACAACTTCTAGTACTACAATTAATACTAGTACTACTACTACTACTACTACTACTACTAGTACTACTACTACTAGTATTAGTACTACTAGTACTAATACTACTACTATTACTAATAGTACTACTACTACTACTAGTACTACTACTACTACTAGTACTACTACTACTACTAGTATTACTACTACTATACTACTACTAGTAATACTACTACTACTAGTACTAATACTAGTACTACTAATACTATTACTACTAGTACTAGTACTACTAATACTACTACTACTAGTACTACTAATACTAGTACTACTACTACTAGTACTACTACTACTACTACTACTATTACTACTACTACTACTACTAGTACTACTACTACTACTACTAGTACTACTACTAGTAATATAGTACTATTACTACTACTACTAGTACTTAACACTACTACTACTACTAGTACTACTACTAATAGTACTAATAATACTACTAATAATACTACTACTACTACTAGTACTACTACTACTACTACTACTACTACTACTACTACTACTAGTACTACTACTACTAGTACTACTACTAATACTACTACTAGTACTACTACTAATAGTACTAATATTACTAATATATTACTACTACTAATACTACTACTACTACTAGTACTAATATCTACTACTACTAATACTACTACTACTAATAGTACTATTACTAATACTAGTACTACTACTACTAATACTACTAGTACTACTACTACTACTAGTACTACTACTATTACTACTACTACTACTAGTACTACTACTAGTACTACTAGTCTACTATTAAATAATAATACTATTACTACTACTAGTACTACTACTAATACTACTACTACTACTACCCGTACTAATACTACTAGTAGTACTACTACTAATACTACTAGTACCACTACTACTACCACTACTACTACTACTAGTACTACTACTACTACCACTACTACTACTAGTACTACTACTACTAGTAATACTACTACTAGTACTACTACTACTAGTACTACTACTAGTACTACTAGTACTACTACTACTACTAGTACTACATACTACTACTAGTATTACAACTATTAGTACTACTACTAGTAATACTACTACTACTAGTACTAATACTAGTACGACTAATACTATTACTACTAGTACTAGTACTACTAATACTACTACTACTAGTACTACTAATACTAGTACTACTACTACTAGTACTACTACTACTACTACTACTAGTACTACTACTACTACTACAGTACTACTACTACTACTAATACTAGTACTACTACTACTACTACAGTACTACTACTACTACTACTAGTACTAATAATACTACTACTACTACTAGTACTACTACTACTAGTACTACTACTAATACTACTACTAGTACTACTACTAGTATACTACTACTAATAAAAGTACTACTACTACTGCTACTTCTACTACTACTACTAGTACTACTATTACTACTAATACTACTACTAATACTACTACTAGTAATACTACTACTACTAGTGCTACTACTACTAATACTAGTACTATTACTACTACCACTACTACTAGTACTACTACTACTAGTACTAGTACTACTAGTATTACTACTACTACTTTCTACTAGTACTACTATTACTACTAGTACTACTACTACTACTAGTAATACTACTACTACTTCTAGTACTACAATTAATACTAGTACTACTACTACTACTACAACTACTACTAGTACTACTACTACTAGTACTAGTACTACTAGTACTAATACTACTACTATTACTAATAGTACTACTAATACTACTAGTACTACTACTAATACTAGTACTACTACTACTAGTACTACTACTACTACTACTAGTACTACTACTACTACTACTAGTACTACTACTACTACTACTAGTACTACTACTACTACTAGTACTACTAATACTAGTACTAATAATACTACTACTACTACTAGTACTACTACAACTACTACTACTAGTACTACTACTACTACTACTAGTACTACTACTAGTACTATGAGTACTACTACCACTACTACCAGTACTAATAACACGACTACTACTACTAGTACAACTACTAGTACTACTAGTAATACTACTACTACTACTAGTAATACTACTAGTAATACTACTACTACTAGTACTACTACTACTAGTACTACTACTACTAGTACTACTACTAATACTACTACTAGTACTACTACTAGTATACTACTACTAATAAAAGTACTACTACTACTACTGCTACTTCTACTACTACTACTAGTACTACTATTACTACTAGTACTACTACTAATACTACTACTAGTACTACTACTAGTACTACTACTACTCCTATTACTACTACTACTATTCCTACCAATACTAATACTACTACTAATAGTACTAATATTATTACTAGTATTACTAACACTACTACTACTACTAGTACTCCTAATAATAGTACTAATAGTACTACTAATAATACTACTACTACTACTAGTACTCCTCCTACTACTACTACTAGTACTACTACTAATACTACTACGACTATTAGTACTACTACTACTAGTACTACTTCCACTAGTACTACTACTACTACTAGTACTAATACTACTACTACTACTACCAGTACTACTACTAGTACTACTACTACTACTAGTACTACTAGTACTACTACTAGTACTACTACTAGTACTACTACTAGTACTATTAATATTACTACTACTACTACTAGTAGTACTAATACTAATACTACTACTGCCACTACTACTACTAGTACTACTACTACTAGTACTACTACTACTACTAGTATTAATAATACTGCTACTACTAATACTACTACTAATAGTACTATTACTAATACTAGTACTACTACTACTAATACTACTACTCTACTACTAGTATTACTAATACTACTAGTACTACTACTACTACTAGTACCACTACTGTTACTACGACTACTACTAGTACTATTACCAGTACTACCAGTGCTACTATTAACATTAATAATACTATTACTACTACTTGTACTACTACTAATACTCTTTGTACTACTACTACTACCCGTACTAATACTACTAGTAGTACTACTACTAATACTACTAGTACCACTACTACTACCACTACTACTACTACTAGTACTACTACTACTACCACTACTACTACTAGTACTACTACTACTAGTAATACTACTACTAGTACTACTACTACTAGTACTACTAATACTACTACTAGTACTACTACTACTAGTACTACTACTACTACTAGTATTACAAATACTATACTACTACTAGTAATACTACTACTACTAGTACTAATACTAGTACGACTAATACTATTACTACTAGTACTAGTACTACTAATACTACTACTACTAGTACTACTAATACTAGTACTACTACTACTAGTACTACTACTACTACTACTAGTACTACTACTACTACTTCCAGTGCTACTACTACTATACTACTAGTACTACTACTAGTACTATGAGTACTATTACTACTACTACCAGTACTAATAACACGACTACTACTACTAGTACAACTACTAGTACTACTAGTAATACTACTACTACTACTAGTATTAATACTACTAGTAATACTACTACTACTAGTACTACTACTACTAGTACTACTACTAATACTACTACTAGTACTACTACTAGTATACTACTACTAATAAAAGTACTACTACTACTGCTACTTCTACTACTACTACTAGTACTACTATTACTACTAATACTACTACTAATACTACTACTAGTACTACTACTAGTACTACTACTACTCCTATTACTACTACTAATATTCCTACCAATAATAATACTACTACTAATAGTACTAATATTATTACTAGTATTACTAACACTACTACTACTAGTACTCCTAATAATAGTACTAATAGTACTACTAATAATACTACTAATACTACTAGTACTCCTCCTACTACTACTACTAGTACTACTACTAATACTACTACGACTATTAGTACTACTACTACTAGTACTACTTCCACTAGTACTACTACTAATACTAGTACTAATACTACTACTACTACTACCAGTACTACTACCAGTACTACTACTACTATCACTGATACTACTACTACTACTGCTACTACTAGTACTACTACTACTACTAGTGCTACTACTACTAATACTAGTACTATTACTACTACCACTACTACTAGTACTACTACTACTACTACTACTAGTAATACTACTACTACTTCTAGTACTACAATTAATACTAGTACTACTACTAATACTACTACTACTACTAGTACTACTACTACTAGTATTAGTACTACTACTACTAATACTACTACTATTACTAATAGTACTACTACTACCACTAGTACTACTACTACTACTAGTACTACTACTACTACTACTAGTACTACTACTACTATACTACTACTAGTACTACTACTACTACTAGTACTAATACTAGTACTACTACTACTATTACTACTAGTACTAGTACTACTAATACTACTACTACTACTACTACTAATACTAGTACTACTACTACTAGTACTACTACTACTACTACTACTACTACTACTACTAGTACTACTACTACTACTACTAGTACTATTAGTACTACTACTACTACTACTAGTACTAATAATACTACTACTACTACTAGTACTACTACTAGTACTACTACTAATACTACTAATACTACTACTACTACTACTAGTACTACTACTACTACTACTACTACTACTACTACTACTAGTACTACTACTACTAGTACTACTACTAATACTACTACTACTACTACTATTACTAGTACTAATATTATTATAATTAATATTACTACTACTAATACTACTACTACTACTAGTATTAATAATACTGCTACTACTAATACTACTACTACTAATAGTACTATTACTAATACTAGTACTACTACTACTAATACTACTACTCTACTACTAGTATTACTAATACTACTAGTACTACTACTACTACTAGTACCACTACTGTTACTACGACTACTACTAGTACTATTACCAGTACTACCAGTGCTACTATTAACATTAATAATACTATTACTACTACTTGAACTACTACTAATACTCTTTGTACTACTACTACTACTCGTACTAATACTACTAGTAGTACTACTACTAATACTACTAGTACCACTACTACTACCACTACTACTACTACTAGTACTACTACTACTACTACTACTACTACTAGTACTACTACTACTAGTAATACTACTACTAGTACTACTACTACTAGTACTACTACTAGTACTAATAGTACTACTACTACTACTAGTACTACTACTACTACTACTAGTATTACAACTACTATACTACTACTAGTAATACTACTACTACTAGTACTAATACTAGTACTACTAATACTATTACTACTAGTACTAGTACTACTAATACTACTACTACTAGTACTACTAATACTAGTACTACTACTACTAGTACTACTACTACTACTACTACTAGTACTACTACTACTACTTCCAGTACTACTACTACTACTACTACTAGTACTACTACTAGTACTATTAGTACTATTACTACTACTACCAGTACTAATAACACGACTACTACTACTAGTACTACTACTACTAGTACTACTACTAATACTACTACTAGTACTACTACTAGTATACTACTACTAATAAAAGTACTACTACTACTGCTACATCTACTACTACTACTAGTACTACTATTACTACTAATACTACTACTAATACTACTACTAGTACTACTACTAGTACTACTACTACTCTTATTACTACTACTAATATTCCTACCAATATTAATACTACTACTAATAGTACTAATATTATTACTAGTATTACTAACACTACTACTACTACTAGTACTCCTAATAATAGTACTAATAGTACTACTAATAATACTACTACTACTAGTACTCCTCCTACTACTACTACTAGTACTACTACTAATACTACTACGACTATTAGTACTACTACTACTAGAACTTCTTCCACTAGTACTACTACTAATACTAGTACTAATACTACTACTACCAGTACTACTACCAGTACTACTACTACTACTATCACTGATACTACTACTACTATTGCTACTACTAGTACTACTACTACTACTAGTGCTACTACTACTAATACTAGTACTATTACTACTACCACTACTACTAGTACTACTACTACTAGTACTAGTACTACTAGTATTACTACTACTACTTTTCTACTAGTACTACTATTACGACTAGTACTACTACTACTACTAGTAATACTACTACAACTTCTAGTACTACAATTAATACTAGTACTACTACTACTACTACAACTACTACTAGTACTACTACTACTACTAGTACTAGTACTACTAGTACTAATACTACTACTATTACTAATAGTACTACTAATACCACTAGTACTACTACTACTACTAGTACTACTACTACTAGTACTACTACTACTACTAGTACTACTACTACTACTACCAGTACTACTACTACTACTACTAGTACTACTACTAGTACTATGAGTACTATTACTACTACTACCAGTACTAATAACACGACTACTACTACTAGTACAACTACTAGTACTACTAGTAATACTACAACTACTACTAGTAATACTACTAGTAATACTACTACTAATACTACTACTACTAGTACTACTACTACTAGTACTACTACTACTAATACTACTACTAGTACTACTACTAGTATACTACTACTAATAAAAGTACTACTACTACTGCTAATTCTACTACTACTAGTACTACTATTACTACTAGTACTACTACTAATACTACTACTAGTACTACTACTACTCCTATTACTACTACTACTATTCCTACCAATACTAATACTACTACTAATAGTACTAATATTATTACTAGTATTACTAACACTACTACTACTACTAGTACTCCTAATAATAGTACTAATAGTACTACTAATAATACTACTACTACTACTAGTACTCCTCCTACTACTACTACTAGTACTACTACTAATACTACTACGACTATTAGTACTACTACTACTAGTACTACTTCCACTAGTACTACTACTAATACTAGTACTAATACTACTACTACTACTACCAGTACTACTACCAGTACTACTACTACTACTATCACTGATACTACTACTACTATTGCTACTACTAGTACTACTACTACTACTAGTGCTACTACTACTAATACTAGTACTATTACTACTACCACTACTACTAGTACTACTACTACTACTAGTACTAGTACTACTAGTATTACTACTACTACTTTTCTACTAGTACTACTGTTACGACTAGTACTACTACTACTACTACTACTAGTAATACTACTACAACTTCTAGTACTACAATTAATACTAGTACTACTACTACTACTACAACTACTACTAGTACTACTACTACTACTAGTACTAGTACTACTAGTACTAATACTATTACTATTACTAATAGTACTACTAATACCACTAGTACTACTACTACTAGTACTACTACTACTACTAGTAATACTACTACTACTTCTAGTACTACTACTAATACTAGTACAACTACTACTACTACAACTACTACTAATAATACTACTACTAATATTACTACTACTACTACTACCAGTACTACTACTAGTACTACTACTAATAGTACTTGTACTGATACTACTACTGATACTACTAGTACTAATACTACTACTAGTACTACTACCACTAGTACTACTACTACTACCACCAATACTACTACTACTAGTACTACTACTAGTACTACTACTACTACAAGTACTACTACTACTACTAGTACTAGTATTACTACTATTACTAGTACTAATACTACTACTAGTACTACTACTACTACTAGTACTACTACTACTATTACTAATAATACTACTACTACTACTAGTACTACTACAACTACTACTACTAGTACTACTACTACTACTAGTACTACTACTACTACTACTAGTACTACTAGTACTATGAGTACTACTACTACTACCAGTACTAATAACACGACTACGACTACTAGTACAACTACTAGTACTACTAGTAATACTATACTACTACTAGTAGTAATACTACTAGTAATACTACTACTACCAGTACTACTACTACTAGTACTACTACTAATACTACTACTAGTACTACTACTAGTATACTACTACTAATAAAAGTACTACTACTACTACTGCTACTTCTACTACTACTACTAGTACTACTATTACTACTAGTACTACTACTAATACTACTACTAGTACTACTACTAGTACTACTACTACTCCTATTACTACTACTACTATTCCTACCAATACTAATACTACTACTAATAGTACTAATATTATTACTAGTATTACTAACACTACTACTACTACTAGTACTCCTAATAATAGTACTAATAGTACTACTAATAATACTACTACTACTAGTACTCCTCCTACTACTACTACTAGTACTACTACTACTAGTACTACTACTAGTAGTACTAGTACTACTACTACTACTACCAGTACTAATAACACTACTACTACTAGTACTACTACTAGTACTACTAGTAATACTACTACTACTAGTAATACTACTAGTAATACTACTACTACTAGTACTACTACTACTAGTACTACTACTACTAGTACTACTACTAATACTAATACTAGTACTACTACTAGTATACTACTACTAATAAAAGTACTACTACTACTAGTACTACTACTACTAGTACTACTAGTACTACTACTAGTACTACTACTAGTACTACTACTAGTACTACTACTAGTACTACTACTACTACTATTACTACTACTACTATTCCTACCAATACTAATACTACTACTAATAGTACTAATATTATTACTAGTATTACTAACACTACTACTACTACTAGTACTCCTAATAATAGTACTAATAGTACTACTAATAATACTACTACTACTACTAGTACTCCTCCTACTACTACTACTAGTACTACTACTAATACTACTACGACTATTAGTACTACTACTACTAGTACTACTTCCACTAGTACTACTAATACTACTAGTACTAATACTACTACTAATACTACCAGTACTACTACTACTACTACTACTACTACTAGTACTACTACTACTACTACTACTACCACTAGTAGTACTACTACTAGTAATACTACTACTAGTACTACTACTACTAGTACTACTACTACTACTAGTATTACAACTTACTACTACTAGTAATACTACTACTACTAGTACTAATACTACTACTAATAATACTACTACTACTAGTACTAGTACTACTAATACTACTACTAATAGTACTACTACTACTAGTACTACTACTACTAGTACTACTACTACTACTATTACTACTACTACTACTACCAGTACTACTACTACTACTACTAGTACTACTACTAGTACTATTAGTACTACTACTAGTACTACTACTACTACTACTACTAGTAGTACTACTACTAGTAATACTACTACTAGTACTACTACTACTAGTACTACTACTACTACTACTAGTATTACTACTACTACTACTATATACTAATACTACTAGTACTAATACTAGTACTACTAATACTATTACTACTAGTACTAGTACTACTAATACTACTACTAATAGTACTACTAATATTAGTACTACTACTACTAGTACTACTACTACTACTATTACTACTACTACTACTACTAGTACTACTACTACTACTACTACTAGTACTACTACTAGTACTACTACTACTATTACTAATACTACTACTACTACTACTAGTACTACTACAACTACTACTACTAGTACTACTACTACTACTAGTAGTACTACTACTACTACTAGTACTACTAGTACTATGAGTACTACTACTACTACCAGTACTAATAACACGACTACGACTACTAGTACAACTACTAGTACTACTAGTAATACTAATACTACTACTAGTAGTAATACTACTAGTAATACTACTACTACCAGTACTACTACTACTAGTACTACTACTAATACTACTACTAGTACTACTACTATTATACTACTACTAATAAAAGTACTACTACTACTACTGCTACTTCTACTACTACTACTAGTACTACTATTACTACTAGTACTACTACTAATACTACTACTAGTACTACTACTAGTACTACTACTACTCCTATTACTACTACTACTATTCCTACCAATACTAATACTACTACTAATAGTACTAATATTATTACTAGTATTACTAACACTACTACTACTACTAGTACTCCTAATAATAGTACTAATAGTACTACTAATAATACTACTACTACTAGTACTCCTCCTACTACTACTACTAGTACTACTACTAATACTACTACGACTATTAGTACTACTACTACTAGTACTTCTTCCACTAGTACTACTACTAATACTAGTACTAATACTATTACTACTACTACCAGTACTACTACTAGTACTACTACTACTAGCACTGATACTACTACTACTATTGCTACTACTAGTACTACTACTACTAGTACTACTACTAATAATACTAGTAATATTACTACTACCACTACTACTACTATTAGTACTACTACTACTACTAGTACTAGTACTACTAGTATTACTACTACTACTTTTCTACTAGTACTACTAATACCACTAGTACTACTACTACTTCTAGTACTACAATTAATACTAGTACTACTACTACTACTACAACTACTACTAGTACTACTACTACTACTAGTACTAGTACTACTAGTACTAATACTACTACTATTACTAATAGTACTACTAATACCACTAGTACTACTACTACTACTACTACTAGTAATACTACTACTACTTCTAGTACTACTACTAATACTAGTACAACTACTAATACTACAACTACTACTAATAATACTACTACTAATATTACTACTACTACTACCAGTACTACTACTAGTACTACTACTAATACTACTAGTACTGATACTACTACCACCAATACTACTACTAGTACTACTAGTAGTACTACTACTACTACAAGTACTACTACTACTAGTACTAGTATTACTACTACTACTAGTACTACTACTACTACTAGTACTACTACTACTACTAGTACTACTAATACTAGTACTAATAATACTACTATTACTACTAGTACTACTACTACTACTACTACTTGTACTACTACTACTAGTACTACTACTAGTACTATGAGTACTACTACTACTACTACCAGTACTAATAACACGACTACTACTAGTACAACTACTAGTACTACTAGTAATACTACTACTACTAGTAATACTACTAGTAATACTACTACTACTAGTACTACTACTACTAGTACTACTACTACTAGTACTACTACTAATACTACTACTAGTACTACTACTAGTATACTACTACTAATAAAAGTACTACTACTACTACTGCTACTTCTACTACTACTACTATTACTACTATTAATACTAGTACTACTACTAATACTACTACTAATACTACTACTAGTACTACTACTAATATACTACTACTAATAAAAGTACTACTACTACTGCTACTTCTACTACTACTACTAGTACTACTATTACTACTAATACTACTACTAATACTACTACTAGTACTACTACTAGTATTACTACTACTCCTATTACTACTACTAATATTCCTACCAATATTAATACTACTACTAATAGTACTAATATTATTACTAGTATTACTAACAATACTACTACTACTAGTACTCCTAATAATAGTACTAATAATACTACTAATAATACTACTACTACTAGTACTCCTCCTACTACTACTACTAGTACTACTACTAATACTACTACGACTATTAGTACTACTACTACTAGTACTACTTCCACTAGTACTACTACTAATACTAGTACTAATACTACTACTACTACTACCAGTACTACTACTAGTACTACTACTACTACTATCACTGATACTACTACTACTATTGCTACTACTAGTACTACTACTACTACTAGTGCTACTACTACTAATACTAGTACTATTACTACTACCACTACTACTAGTACTACTACTACTACTAGTACTAGTACTACTAGTATTACTACTACTACTTTTCTACTAGTACTACTGTTACGACTAGTACTACTACTACTACTACTACTAGTAATACTACTACAACTTCTAGTACTACAATTAATACTAGTACTACTACTACTAATACAACTACTACTAGTACTACTACTACTACTAGTACTAGTACTACTAGTACTAATACTACTACTATTACTAATAGTACTACTAATACCACTAGTACTACTACTACTACTAGTACTACTACTACTAGTACTACTACTACTACTACTACTAGTACTACTACTACTACTACCAGTACTACTACTACTACTAGTACTACTACTAGTACTATGAGTACTATTACTACTACTACCAGTACTAATAACACGACTACTACTACTAGTAAAACTACTAGTACTACTAGTAATACTACTACTACTACTAGTAATACTACTACTACTAGTACTACTACTACTAGTACTACTACTACTAGTACTACTACTAGTATACTACTACTAATAAAAGTACTACTACTACTACTGCTAATTCTACTACTACTAGTACTACTATTACTACTAGTACTACTACTAATACTACTACTAGTACTACTACTACTCCTATTACTACTACTACTATTCCTACCAATACTAATACTACTACTAATAGTACTAATATTATTACTAGTATTACTAACACTACTACTACTACTAGTACTCCTAATAATAGTACTAATAGTACTACTAATAATACTACTACTACTAGTACTCCTCCTACTACTACTACTAGTACTACTACTAATACTACTACGACTATTAGTACTACTACTACTAGAACTTCTTCCACTAGTACTACTACTAATACTAGTACTAATACTATTACTACTACTACCAGTACTACTACTAGTACTACTACTACTAGCACTGATACTATTACTACTATTGCTACTACTAGTACTACTACTACTAGTACTACTACTAATAATACTAGTAATATTACTACTACTACTACTACTACTATTAGTACTACTACTACTACTAGTACTAGTACTACTAGTATTACTACTACTACTTTTCTACTAGTACTACTAATACCACTAGTACTACTACTACTTCTAGTACTACAATTAATACTAGTACTACTACTACTACTACAACTACTACTAGTACTACTACTACTACTAGTACTAGTACTAATAGTACTATTACTACTACTATTACTAATAGTACTACTAATACCACTATTACTACTACTACTACTACTACTAGTAATACTACTACTACTTCTAGTACTACTACTAATACTAGTACTATTACTAATACTACTACTACTACTAATAATACTACTACTAATATTACTACTACTACTACCAGTACTACTACTAGTACTACTACTAATACTACTAGTACTAATACTACTACCACCAATACTACTACTAGTACTACTAGTAGTACTACTACTACTACAAGTACTACTACTACTAGTACTAGTATTACTACTACTACTAGTACTACTACTACTACTAGTACTACTACTACTACTAGTACTACTAATACTAGTACTAATAATACTACTATTACTACTAGTACTACTACAACTACTACTACTAGTACTACTACTACTAGTACTACTACTAGTACTATGAGTACTACTACTACTACTACCAGTACTAATAACACGACTACTACTAGTACAACTACTAGTACTACTAGTAATACTACTACTACTAGTAATACTACTAGTAATACTACTACTACTAGTACTACTACTACTAGTACTACTACTACTAGTACTACTACTAATACTACTACTAGTACTACTACTAGTATACTACTACTAATAAAAGTACTACTACTACTACTGCTACTTCTACTACTACTACTAGTACTACTATTAATACTAGTACTACTACTAATACTACTACTAATACTACTACTAGTACTACTACTATACTACTACTATAATACTACTACTCTCTACTACTACTAGTACTAGTACTACTATTACTACTAATACTACTACTAATACTACTACTAGTACTACTACTAGTATTACTACTACTCCTATTACTACTACTAATATTCCTACCAATAATAATACTACTACTAATAGTACTAATATTATTACTAGTATTACTAACAATACTACTACTACTAGTACTCCTAATAATAGTACTAATAGTACTACTAATAATACTACTACTACTAGTACTCCTCCTACTACTACTACTAGTACTACTACTAATACTACTACGACTATTAGTACTACTACTACTAGTACTACTTCCACTAGTACTACTACTAATACTAGTACTAATACTACTACTACTACTACCAGTACTACTACTAGTACTACTACTACTACTATCACTGATACTACTACTACTATTGCTACTACTAGTACTACTACTACTACTAGTTTACTACTACTAATACTAGTACTATTACTACTACCACTACTACTAGTACTACTACTACTACTAGTACTAGTACTACTAGTATTACTACTACTACTTTTCTACTAGTACTACTGTTACGACTAGTACTACTACTACTACTACTACTAGTAATACTACTACAACTTCTAGTACTACAATTAATACCAGTACTACTACTACTACTACAACTACTACTAGTACTACTACTACTACTAGTACTAGTACTACTAGTACTAATACTACTACTATTACTAATAGTACTACTAATACCACTAGTACTACTACTACTACTAGTACTACTACTACTAGTACTACTACTACTACTACTACTAGTACTACTACTACTACTACCAGTACTACTACTACTACTAGTACTACTACTAGTACTATGAGTACTATTACTACTACTACCAGTACTAATAACACGACTACTACTACTAGTAAAACTACTAGTACTACTAGTAATACTACAACTACTACTAGTAATACTACTACTACTAGTACTACTACTACTAGTACTACTACTACTAGTACTACTACTAGTATACTACTACTAATAAAAGTACTACTACTACTACTGCTAATTCTACTACTACTAGTACTACTATTACTACTAGTACTACTACTAATACTACTACTAGTACTACTACTACTCCTATTACTACTACTACTATTCCTACCAATACTAATACTACTACTAATAGTACTAATATTATTACTAGTATTACTAACACTACTACTACTACTAGTACTCCTAATAATAGTACTAATAGTACTACTAATAATACTACTACTACTACTAGTACTCCTACTACTACTACTACTAGTAGTACTACTAATACTACTACGACTATTAGTACTACTACTACTAGTACTACTTCCACTAGTACTACTACTAATACTAGTACTAATACTACTACTACTACTACCAGTACTACTACCAGTACTACTACTACTACTATCACTGATACTACTACTATTGCTACTACTAGTACTACTACTACTACTAGTGCTACTACTACTAATACTAGTACTATTACTACTACCACTACTACTAGTACTACTACTACTACTAGTACTAGTACTACTAGTATTACTACTACTACTTTTCTACTAGTACTACTGTTACGACTAGTACTACTACTACTACTACTACTAGTAATACTACTACAACTTCTAGTACTACAATTAATACTAGTACTACTACTACTACTACAACTAATACTAGTACTACTACTACTACTAGTACTAGTACTACTAGTACTAATACTACTACTATTACTAATAGTACTACTAATAACACTAGTACTACTACTACTACTAGTACTACTACTACTACTACTAGTAACACTACTACTACTTCTAGTACTACTACTAATACTAGTACAACTACTACTACTACAACTACTACTAATAATACTACTACTACAAATATTACTACTACTACTACTACCAGTACTACTACTAGTACTACTACTAATAGTACTTGTACTGATACTACTACTGATACTACTAATACTAATACTACTACTAGTACTACTACTACTAGCACTGATACTATTACTACTATTGCTACTACTAGTACTACTACTACTACTAGTGCTACTACTAATAATACTAGTAATATTACTACTACCACTACTACTACTAATAGTACTACTACTACTAGTACTAGTACTACTAGTATTACTACTACTACTTTTCTACTAGTACTACTAATACCACTAGTACTACTACTACTTCTAGTACTACTATTAATACTAGTACTACTATTACTACTACAACTACTATTAGTACTACTACTACTAGTACTAGTACTAATAGTACTATTACTACTACTATTACTAATAGTACTACTAATACCACTAGTACTACTACTATTACTAGTACTACTACTACTAATACTAGTAATACTACTACTACTTCTAGTACTACTACTAATACTAGTACAACTACTACTACTACAACTACTACTAATAATACTACTACTAATATTACTACTACTACTACCAGTACTACTACTAGTACTACTACTAATACTACTAGTACTGATACTACTACTACTACTGCTACTACTAGTACTACTACTACTACTACTAGTACTACTACTACTACCACCAATACTACTACTACTAGTACTACTGGTAGTACTACTACTACTACAAGTATTACTACTACTACTAGTACTAGTATTACTACTACTACTAGTACTACTACTACTACTAGTACTACTACTACTACTAGTACTACTAATACTAGTACTAATTATACTACTATTACTACTAGTACTACTACTACTACTACTACTAGTACTAATACTACTACTACTAGTACTACTACTAGTAGTATGAGTACTACTACCACTATTACCAGTACTAATAACACGACTACTACTACTAGTACAACTACTAGTACTACTAGTAATACTACTACTACTATTAATACTACTAGTAATACTACTACTACTAGTAATACTACTACTAGTACTACTACTAATACTACTACTAGTACTACTACTAGTATACTACTACTAATAAAAGTACTACTACTGCTACTGCTACTTCTACTACTACTACTAGTACTACTATTACTACTAGTACTACTACTAATACTACTACTAGTACTACTACTAGTACTACTACTACTCCTATTACTACTACTACTATTCCTACCAATACTAATACTACTATAAATAGTACTAATATTATTACTAGTATTACTAACACTACTACTACTACTAGTACTCCTAATAATAGTACTAATATTACTACTAATACTACTACTACTACTACCAGTACTCCTCCTACTACTACTACTAGTACTACTACTAATACTACTACGACTATTAGTACTACTACTACTAGTACTAATTCCACTAGTACTACTACTACTACTAGTACTAATACTACTACTACTACTACCAGTACTACTACTAGTACTACTACTACTACTAGTACTACTAGTACTACTACTAGTACTACTACTAATACTACTACTAGTACTATTAATACTACTACTATTACTACTAGTAATACTAATACTAATACTACTAGTACTACTACTACTACTAGTACTACTACTACTAGTAATACTACTACTACTTCTAGTACTACTACTAATACTAGTACTACTACTACTACTACAAATACTACTAATAATACTACTACTAAAATTACTACTACTACTACTCCAGTACTTCTACTAGTACTACTACTAATATTACTTGTACTGATACTACTACTGATACTACTAGTACTAATACTACTACTAGTACTACTACCACTAGTACTACTACTACTACCAACAATACTACTACTAATAGTACTACTAGTAGTACTACTACTACTACAAGTACTACTACTAGTACTAGTATTACTACTATTACTAATACTACTACTACTACTACTAGTACTACTACTAATACTAGTACTACTACTACTATTACTAATAATACTACTACTACTACTAGTACTAATACAACTACTACTACTAGTACTACTACTACTACTACTAGTACTACTACTACTACTAGTACTACTACTACTACTACTAGTACTACTACTAGTACTATGAGTACTACTACTACTAATACCAGTACTAATAACACGACTACGACTACTAGTACAACTACTAGTACTACTAGTAATACTACTACTACTACTAGTAGTAATAATACTAGTAATACTACTACTACCAGTACTACTACTACTACTACTACTAATACTACTACTAGTACTACTACTAGTATACTACTACTAATAAAAGTACTACTACTACTACTGCTACTTCTACTACTACTACTAGTACTACTATTACTACTAGTACTACTACTAATACTACTACTAGTACTACTACTAGTACTACTACTACTCCTATTACTACTACTACTATTCCTACCAATACTAATACTACTACTAATAGTACTAATATTATTACTAGTATTACTAACACTACTACTACTAGTACTCCTAATAATAGTACTAATAGTACTACTAATAATACTACTACTACTACTAGTACTCCTCCTACTACTACTACTAGTACTACTACTAATACTACTACGACTATTAGTACTACTACTACTAGTACTTCTTCCACTAGTACTACTACTAATACTAGTACTAATACTATTACTACTACTACCAGTACTACTACTAGTACTACTACTACTAGCACTGATACTACTACTAATATTGCTACTACTAGTACTATTACTACTAGTGCTACTACTAATAATACTAGTAATATTACTACTACCACTACTACTACTATTAGTACTACTACTACTACTAGTACTAGTACTACTAGTATTACTACTACTACTTTTCTACTAGTACTACTAATACCACTAGTACTACTACTACTTCTAGTACTACAATTAATACTAGTACTACTACTACTACTACAACTACTACTAGTACTACTACTACTACTAGTACTAGTACTAATAGTACTATTACTACTACTATTACTAATAGTACTACTAATACCACTAGTACTACTACTACTACTACTACTAGTAATACTACTACTACTTCTAGTACTACTACTAATACTAGTACAACTACTAATACTACAACTACTACTAATAATACTACTACTAATATTACTACTACTACTACCAGTACTACTACTAGTACTACTACTAATACTACTAGTACTGATACTACTACCACCAATACTACTACTACTAGTACTACTAGTAGTACTACTACTACTACAAGTACTACTACTACTAGTACTAGTATTACTACTACTACTAGTACTACTACTACTACTAGTACTACTAATACTAGTACTAATAATACTACTATTACTACTAGTACTACTACAACTACTACTACTAGTACTACTACTACTAGTACTACTACTAGTACTATGAGTACTACTACCACTACTACCAGTACTAATAACACGACTACTACTAGTACAACTACTAGTACTACTAGTAATACTACTACTACTAGTAATACTACTAGTAATATTACTACTACTAGTAC